CTTCCGTTTTGTTTTTTTGTCGCAGGAGATATTGGGCCTTCCGTTGCAACAGTGAAGAGCCTCCGCAAGGTACATTGCACACCCAAGTGCGCACGCTGTTCAGTGTGCCTGATTTGTTGCATGATGGCATCCCAGGCGTTCTTTTAGTTCTGGCAGTTTTCTCGCAATGGAAGATTCCTGCTGCAAACCGCTAACCTAGAAACAATATAGCTTTCCGCTATGCTAGAATGCAGGAAAATCTCAGCGCGTAACATGTCCTTGCCTTGTACTCTGCAACAACGCCGCTAGTTCAAACCACCGTAGTGTCAGCAACCGTCCAGGTTCCCCACAATGGCAAGCTGAGGCGACAAAAAGGACCCAGCGACGGAGCCAGACGCAGGCGCGGCTACACTGTGTTCACCCCAAATTTGCCAAACCTAGCAGATGAATGCGAGGCCGATCCCCCGAAAAGAATGAAATGAGCCATATGGTCAAAGGGAATATCCCGACCCCTGCTTCTGTTTTTGCGTTTTCAGTATTGCAAACAGAGACGCAAGACAGATGCACCATGGTACGACGGCTTGCGAAAAGGCTGCAGGCAGTCTCACTTGAAGACATGAAAGGACACATTCTACACACATGCAAGACTGCTTTCTGACTGCGTGGACCATTGCCGCTGATGGCGGCTATGTGGCCTGGTGCGCCAATGTGAAAGTTGTCGACAAAGATGTCACCTTTTTTCTTGAGCGAGCGGATGTTGGACATCTCTTGCCCTTCAACCTTGCAGTCCCAAGCGGTGAAATGTTTGAGAATGAAGACGAAGTGGGTGTTCAGATTGGGTTCCGTGCGGCAAAGGATTGCAGCTCAAAAGGGATCGAGGTTCTCCGACGTATATTGTTTTTTTTTTGTTTTTTCCCCCCGTTTTGGGGTGCGCAGCTCGCCACCTGAACACGTGAGCCTGGCCATAGACACCTTCCTTGGACATTGTCTCGAGGGAGCAGTTTTTCGGAGCCAAATGGAGCTGGAATGAGGGACTGGTCCGCATGGCCTGCTTCTAATGTTTTTCCAAGCCATGGAAATCGATGTCCTCTGCTCAGCCGGGTTGTCTGTGCAGAACATCTGCAGTGGCAGGGCAACAGGATTGATGATGCCCGTGGGGAGGTTCACGAAGACAGGCGAGTTCAATGGACAAATTCTCAAGGGGTCGACGGTCTCCTGCAAATCCTGAAAGCTTAGATCCTTTGCAGCAACTGCCATATCTCTGCAGGACTACACCACAAGAACGATAGGAGCAGAAAGACTTGATTTGCGGCGTGACACAGCACGTGCTAGCAAAACATACAGCAGGAGCTGCATACAACACGGCGCTGCATTTCTCAGGCACAGCTTCGAGACATCAGATCTAGTCATCACAGGCGATACCTCAGCCAAAACCAAGCCCAAAAACCACAACACGAAAAAACCTCGAGAAGCCAAACAACAAAGTGCAAAATCCAAAAATCCAAAAATCCAAAGCCTCACCAACTTAGTTCAACCTCCTGCAGATTGTTTACTAGTGTTTCTCGAGGATTTTTTGTTGTTCAGTTTTGATGTGGTTTGGTTGTTTGCAGGTTTCATTGTTATCCTTGATTGTCCCCTTTTTTCCCAGGGTGGTTTTGATTGTCCCTTTGTCTTTGGGAGGTTTTGGTTGTCCCTTTTTCCCAAGGTGGTGTTGGTTCTTACTACAGAAAATGCAGCAACGAAGGGGTCGAGTTGTTGCCTCTATCCATATATATATAGATATATATATATATACGTATATATGGATCTGGCTTCCTTTTGGGAACCCTCTTTTGGTTGGTACTGAAATGTCTTGAAGGGAAACCAAGGGAGAACCGAAGCCATCTTGGCACCCCCATACATCAATCCTTGTGTTTCCGTAGCTGGCACATGCAAGTCGCGTCGGAGTCAGCTTCGGCCGGGCTGCTTAAACTCAGCATTTTGAGGGCAACATGGAAACTACACTTTTGGCTGACCTATAATTTGAGTGCGTCTTTTTAAACAGTGCCCTGTTTTGTGCCAAGGGGAAACCAAAAAGAAAACCACCGTTCTAAGAAGGTGTCCCGTCACTTTGGTGCTTTTCGGGGCCCGGGGTCCCAAACTTGCCAAGAAGCATTGCCAAGCCGCAGGTGCCGAGAAGGGCGAGAAGGAACCGGAAGGCAGCAGAGATGCGAATCCTCTTCTCTCAATATGCTGACTATCATACCATGGTGATCACTATGCTCATACCATGGTGAACTGGTGACAAGCCGAATGCCTGTTGACTATCAATATGTTCATTCTCCTCAAAGTGCAGGCATTCGGAATGTTCGGCTGTCGGCGGTCGCATTGGAGCCATGGCTAGGACATGCGACTACTTGACATGGCATGGTTCGCCTGGTCTGAAGTGCGTATGATGCGCTTTAGGATCATTCGTATGATGCGCTTTTGGTAAATGTGGTTGCTCCAGTCTAGGACATATTCTTTTTTGAGATTCATGCCA